AAGATCTGATGCTTTGCTACTCAGGCTTTGTTGATGATCCAGTTCATTTCGGTCCGTATACAATCTATGAGTCTTAATCGTGGTTTTGTCAGACAGGAAACTGTGTCGTGGATCGATTTTATTGTCATAGCCAAATTCAAAGCTGGAAATAAACAAAAGGCAACCAGTTCTAGTGACGAAACTGAAATAAAATTAGAAAGTTTGTGAAATACATAACTGAATATCTTTCAGGAGGGATTAAACAGACTAAATATTTCACTTCGACGTAGAAAGATTATTGCTCGCTTTATTTAAGTGATACAAGTTATTAAGGCTGCAAAATTCTGTTCGTCTTTTAACTTTTCGATGCTTTTTCAGTTTCTTTTCAATCCTGGATGTTGTCCTTCTTGCACTCTTAGAAGAAAAACTCATTTTTCCATTTGTCAGTTGAATTTGATTAAGAATTTTTCAAATCATTTTCATACAAAAAACGGTAGGGAGTTGATTAGTCCACCATGTTTGATGGTTTCCCACCAAGCGTCCATCTGTCTTCTTTATATCTCAGCACAATGCGTGTGCATGAACGTACTTGAAATGATATTTATGATCAAACAAAATTTCACTGCAAATACGGCACAACTCGTAAAAATACTCAGCGATACTACACAACAAAACGGTCTAATAAGATATACAATATATATGATGGTGACATATTCATTATAAGAAGGCTCATAAATGGTTTCGGCTCCTTTCTCTGTCATACAGTAGATACAAGCCTATGTATTCACATAAAATGAAATACGGTGTAATTTTTAATTTTCAACCAATGTTTTGGTTCGGAGCGCAAGTTACAAAGATGTGATTTACTCCTTTCATTCACAGGGGTTCTATCTTCCCTCAGTTGGTTTGGTTAGAGTCTTACTGTTCCATGTAGAACGAAAGTAATATTTTCGGGCCTATAACACAAGTCGAATTGTACGCAAATGAATCACTCCCATCAAAGTGCAGGGTAGACTTGGCACCAAAGGAGACTTAACCGGCTGTCCAAATCAACAATTATCATATTTACAGCTCCAATTCAAGGTGGAAGCAAAGACAAAGAAATGATGGCAACAATCGATTTGATCGCGACTGCCATGAATTATGGTCAAGAATTAAATGGATACTCCAAAATCAGGTTTCCGAGTAAGGACAGGAACCTATTATTATTATTCGGTAAATAAGGATATGAAAAATAATTTTATGTTCTAGTCCCTACTCGGAAACCTGATTTTGGAGTATCCGTTTAAGTCACGACCATAACTTAATTTCTACTCACAACTACGCGCGAGCTGCTTTATGGGATACTATTTTAAAAATTTCTCCCGAGTCGCGTCACCAGACCACCTGGTTAGTGTGTCTGTTTGGGGGAGGGTAGTGCTAAGGAGAGGGTAGCAACGGGGAGTCCTGATCCCTTTTCACCGGTGCACGAATTTTCGAAAAATTGACGTGCGTCACGTATCTTAAAGGGGAAACTTCAAATCTCTCTTCTTGTGTACAAGGTTTCAGGAAATACCGAGGTTTTGGTTAAACAACTGTAAAATCTGAAGTTTTATATCAGAGATAATTAAGCCTAATTTCCTATCATTTGAAATACGACAGGCCATCTACGGCCAAAGGTTGATTTAATTGCGTGACGGTTGGCGGAAATGTCAAACAGTCAGTTATATCTTTCAATTGGCTCCTCCTCCCCAGGTTGATAGCCCAAAAATATTTAGGTGTCTATTAACTCAACCAGCGTGCCAAAAGAAGACACTTCCCTTCCGTGTAATATGACTCTGCAGGACCTAAGGGGTGTACTCCAATAAGACCTTTTTCTTGAACAATCTCTGGCGAGAGTTTTTGGGATATCGCTCATGTTTACGAATATTGTGGGAGTCCAAGAGAAATAAAACGTGCGTTAGAAAATTTTCTCTGCTTGACAACCCGACGACCTTTCATTTAACCTGAACTCACTGAAGGATAGACGCATCGAGCAAAGTAATAAATTTTTTGAACCAATAGTGTCCAATACCGAGCACAAGCTTCATCATTTATTGCCTCCGAAGAACCATATTACTTATAATCTTAGAAATCAACGTTAGTTTGTTAACCCAATAATGGGCACCAAGCGTTTCCCCGAGACATATTTACCTGCCATGTGTAGACAATAGGTCTGTGTTATATTCTTTTATTATACTTGTAAATAACATGCTCTGTAAATATAATTTATAATTTTAGCCAGTATTATATTGTAA